TCTTGCTCTGCTGCCGAAGACTAATGGTAGATACTTCATTGATTCATTGTATTTCTCTCATTTGGAAAAAACAAAAAAGAAAAAAGAAAAAAAAAAAGGGAATGAGAGAAAGAAAGAAATGAAGGAGTGGAGAAAGGGAAAGCCATCCTAAGGATTGTGAGTTTAACTAATGGCAAGTGGCAAAATCACATTACATGCCTTTGCAAAAAGTACTCAGATCATAGAAGAATTAAATGAGGTACTAATGTTTATCTCTACGTTTTGCAGCAGCATGCAGAAAACACACTGACATGGCAGCTGTGAAACACAACATCCCTGCTGAATGTGGAGATCTTATCCGTGTCCAGAAACAACTGAAAAAGGGGGCAGTTTATGTGGACGAATCCCTTGACAGATGTAAACAGTGGCAGAATGAAAAACAGAGACTGCAGCCCACTCCACAGGTACGAGTCTGAATATTTATGTTTCTTGATGGAATCTTGGTCAGAAGTTTGGAAAACAAACTCTTGTGCTTTGGCTCCTATATATGAGATCAAAAATTAGAGCTGTGATTTATCTTGTCATGATTTATATGCCCATCAGCTCCCAAGGAACTTGCTGCTTGTAGATACCTGTTTCCACTGGTGCTTATTGGAGATGCTTCCTGAATTTATTGTGGTTGAATTTAGGTGCTGCTGCATTTGGTTAAAATCCCAAGTTAAATATGTTGATCTCCTAAGATTTTATTTTACATTGTTAAGTGAGGCATAGGTACATGCATCTTTTATGAAACCACCATCTTTCTGTAGCTGAACAAAATAAATGTGCTTTTGAGCACTGTCAGCTAAGAAAAATATGACTACTTCGAACATACATTGTTAATATATATTGACTGCATCAGGCTTTACGCCTGTCTGAAAGTGTTGATTCTACCTAGGAATTCACAATTCTCAGAAAAGCTCTTCAGCTCCTTTATATTCAATGAATGGAGTAAAATGAAATGCACAAAAACAAGATTTACAAAAGCCCACACAGTGAGTCACTGAAAAAATTGCATCAGAGCAAGATGATAGGCTGAGGAGAAAGGCACAGTGAAGAAGTTTGTTAATTACTTCCAACAAGATAGCTGGAAGAAGAGGTTATGCCCTCGTTTTATATGAGGTCATACATTAACAAAAATAGTTTATTGTTGCCTTTTGAATAAATCTAGTAGAAAGAGGATTACTAAGGCTGCTGCTCTACAGAGTGGGAGAGCTATCAGATACTGCTAACAAGGAGAGATTAAATGCCCTTTTGTTTGTATTTACTGAAAAAAATCAGAGGAGCTTTTGTCATCACAACGGAACACTTATTAACAAAAGCATGAGGCCTTAGAACAGTTTAGGTGTACAGCACCCAGACTACACCCCAGCAGCTCAGTATGAGCTGTTCTCAGCAGTGCTGGGGGGTCCCTCCCTGAATGTCACTGCAGCAAAGCAGCCAGATGGGAACAGCAGAGCTGCTCCATCAGCTGGGGAGTTACACAGGGAGGAGGTGGACTCGAATGTGTGCAGAAGATAACAGCATACAGCATAGGTCTTTTTTGTTGTTGTTAATGTGAAGGTGCTTGTTTCTGAGGGAGGATTTACTTGACCTGATTTCACTGCTTAAGGAAAAGGGTTGCTTATACCCTTCATCGTGTATATGAATTTTGTTTTGTGCCATAGAAGTCTTTCACTGTTAACCTGCAAACAGAACGAATTAGCTTCATGCTATCACTGAACTTGAGTGGTCTTCCCCGGGATTTTGAGGAGGGGGAAAAAACAAACAAACAAAAAAAACAATCAGTTGTCTAATGTTAAAAATTAAAGCTCAAGACTCTGTAATTTAACTCCAGAATCTTGCTGATGGAAAACAAACACCACAGGACTCAGGGCAGTGTTCAGAATGCTAGAGTACAACTTTATAGAGTTATTTATTATTTCTAAAGCAAACTTCTATTATTGATTCTTAACTCGTGGCTTTTTTTTTATTTAAAGGATAAAGTGTGCCACCTTAGGGCCACCAGTACAGGGAAGAGATTAGAAAAGGAAAATCCGAATGGTAAGTTACACTTTCTTTTGGCTTTCAAAACACCAAAGACTTGTAATGTTAATAAGTACACTGCTAAGGTTGGATGCAAAGCATTGGCTTCATAATGAGCATAGTCTGCATCTTTTTACATCTAAGTAGGTGTAGCGTAGCCAGGACTTACATGGGGTTGAGATTGCAACCCAAGAATAAGCTCAGTGAGAGTTAATGAGGGAGAAAATTGAGGAGGTCATCGCAGCTCAGCTTTTCTGTTGTCATTATTTCCTACTGCTTTGTCAGATTAGATTAGATGATTCCTTTATGACAATTTACTTGATGACTTGGGTATTTTACTTGTAAATCAGCTACCAGTTTGCACTTGCAAATTCTTGATGAGCTTTCTATTGCCACAGTAGTTCAGAATTGTGATTCAATAATCAAAAGCTATACCATTAGTCATTTAAAATGCTTTTTACCTTTGTGATTCAATGGTCTTTGCAGCCGAATAAATCACCTGTACTTCCTGCAAATTATTTTGTTGTTATGAAAAGATTGTTTTGGGTGTTACTGGCTTTAGGTCTATGATTTCTCTAAACTTCAGTATATACAAGTTCTTGGAGAAAAGATTCTTTTTACGCTGGATTTAGTAGTACAATCTTTGCATTTAAATTAATCACAAAAGCTATTTCTTTTTAGTACAAGAGAGGAAAAATAATCCACAGTACTGCTTTGATGTATTCTATTACACAGTGTTATTTCTACATAGACTGGATAGCTGAGATGCTGTAAATAACAAAATTTTTTACTGGCCCTGTGGCAGAGTTGCAGTTCAGACTATTTCAGCTTGGTAGGGGTGCAGCAGCCTGCAAATGAGTGGGCTGGGTCCTTTCAGCCTTCATATGGTGCTCAGAGCTAAAATCTATTCTCTGTAGACAAGGCAAAGCTCACTGTGACATGAGATCGAATGTTGGAAGGCACATGGCTGTAGGCTTTTCTTTTAAGGCCGCATCAGTCGGGTTGGTGTTGCTGTCCTCTCTCCAGCATTCAGCTAGTTAGTAAAACATGCAGGCAGAAATGTAGTAGCAACACCAGAATTTAAAATTTACTGTAACAATGAGGCTTGTATTACCCGGTAACTCTGCTAATGATCACTATGTCCCCTCCTGCTCTTAACCTCCTTGCCATCTGTTATGCTATTTTATATTCTGTGATGAATATAAAGCAGAAATACAATGGGAAGAATCATTATGTAGGCCCTGGTTCTGTCCAGCAGTACACTATCACAGATTTAAATCCTTGAAAGTAAGAATTTTTACCAGATGAAACTCCATCTACAGCTGGAGCGTATTAACGATGAGTAAAGAAAGGTGTCAGAAAAAGTATCATCTAAATCCAGATATGAATTGCCTGAATCAAAGATAATTACATTCTTTTCTCTTTAATAGTTCTAAGGAAAGTGGAACAGAGAACATTCACTTGTGAAACTTTTTGTACCATATGCTACTGAATAAGACAGTGCTATGATGTTAGCAGTTTTCAGCTTTGTTTAACCGACTCTGGTTTTCACACCTGCATGTAGACTCTCCAGCTGTACCTTGAAAATCATGGGCTTTTGCTGCCATGTTTGAAATCAGGATTTGGATATCCATTTTCATAGGCTGTTTTTGAAGACTTGATTTGGAATTTAAACAGAGCATATCAAGAACCTGTTAGAAAGGGAATTTGATTTTTAATGAGAAGGAAATATACGCTATAAATAAGTGAGGAACATGATTTTTAGTTTCTTGATAAGTTTGATCTTATTCCACTGTAATGAAAGTTATTAATGAGAACAGCAGTAAGTTCAATCTTCCATTATAGCATTTGATGATATCTTGAAGTCCATGTCTCAGTTTGCAACAGTTTAATATAGGATCTAATAACATGTACATTTTAAAAAAATGCATTTGAAACAAAAAGGAAGTTCTGTCATACTTCGAGGGCTTTTTCTACAAACAAAAAAAACCAACAAAAAAAACTATTTTAAGGACAACAAAATAAGCACTAAGCATGTAGAATGTTCATTTCTGGAAAAGTACAGACACTAATTAATCTCATTACCATATACTACATATACGGTGTTGCCACAGGCATTTAATATCTTTTTTTTTTTCAATAAGGGATGTAAGTCAGCTATCAGCTCTGCAATAATAAAGCTTTATTAAAATTTAATGAAAATACATCCTTGATCTGGGGACCAAAGCTCCATTTTCAAATGTGAGCAGCCAAGAAAATGGGGGGAGGTATTTAGGATTTTCCTTGGCAGTTTTCCTGAAGTGCTGCAGCGCTGAACCAGAAGTAGCCTGTTGCCTATGGGAAAATTCATCCCTAAATTAGGCTTAGATCTGATTTGGAAAGCCAGCAGAGAAGTGAGGCTTCTACAGGCATTCGGCATCCCTGTTTTGTAGCACACACCCATTTTTTAAAATCCTATGCAGTGCTTATCTGCACCTTTTGGGCATTTGAACTACCTCTATGAGCATTGCTTAGCTGTTTCTGAAAACATGATTTAAAAATCTGCCTTCTAGTTCAGTTACATTATGGCACCTTACATGCCACATCCCACAGATTTTAGTCATCCAGCATCTAAAAATAAGTCCAAGACTGCAAAAACTACATAAGATTCTTTAAGAATTGCCTATAGTTAGATAAAATCTTCATTGCTGACCTCTGTGGTACCTGTAACTTGGTCTTGTGTTAGGGATACAGAGTTTGCACAGTATTACTGAATCTCACTATTGCATAAGATTACTCATCCAAATATGGAATAACTGATACTCTGCTCCTCATTTATCGCAACAAGAACTGAGTAGTAGGTGTTACTGCTGGTAAGAAGCAGGACAGAGGCTGCAGAAGATGAACTCAGACGGACTTGAGAAGACTAATACTACATTATGCAAATATTAACCATGAAAAAAAAAGCAGTAACTTACATAATAGTTTTAAATGAAGGTAAGTCTCAGGAAGCACATCAGATGCTTAGTCCTCCGGTGACACCTACGGGGCAAACATGCAATTCATCCAGCTCCTTGTCAAGACTGATACAGAAGGTGGTCTGCTGAGGAAGGCAAAGGGCTTTTTCCACAGAAATTTCACAGGGAGCTGGACTGAAAAATATTTAATAGCTGAGCTGTTAATCAGTAGGTACTTAGACAACTGGTCATTAATAGCATCTCGCTGTCACTGAAAATGGCATTCGTATCCAAGAAATAACTTCATCATCCATTGCTATGCAGAGACCCACTCCTCTAAGGTGCTGCATCCAGCCAGTTATCACTTCAGAAAAAGCAACCTCCAGCAAAATTTCTTCCAGATTGTGATTTCCAGCTTTTTAGACACCTATTACAGTAAAGCAGGCAGTAGAGTTCAATTAAGTTTGCTTAACCAGCTGCCAAAGACCAAATCTCTTCCTCAGCTTTATCCAAAAGGCACACACAGAAGAGCACTGCTCGACTTTCACAAACTGTCAGCTCATTGATTAAGTTTGCTATCCCCAACACTTGGCTTTGATCCACAGCCCTCATCAGCACCTTGCTTTCAGTCCAAGCTGCTAGCAGTCTGCTTATTCAACAGTTGACTCCACTCCAGCGTGCAGGTGGTGTCTAAGCAGACCTTTCCTGAACCAGCAGCTCAGTTGGAGCCTGTTAACCAATAGGAAGACAAACAAAGCCTCTCATTTTGACATGTGGATCGCTGAGAACTCAGACTACCTTACCTAATCCTGTTAGCCCAGTTGAAATACTCAGCACTTTTTCAAGAACCTATAAACACTTGTACATGCCTACACTACACTAGAGGGTGTGGAAGTCATTACAAAGAAAACAAGTTTTGTGGTTTGTTTTTTTTTACCTAAACAGTACACATTGCAATCAGGGCTGCCAGTATTGCAAACGTATTTGTTGAAAATGTACAGTGGTAGCTGTTGGATTTGTGAAGCTACAGCTTTAGCCTGGTTTATTTCCAGTTTAAGTATTTTGTAGCTTCACTTAATGCTTACAGTATTAAACATGTAAGCACATAAGTAATAACGACAAAGCAAACATAAATAACAAAAATCACTTTCCTGTCCACCCGTCACCAAATCAGGCCTTTGTGAGGCAAGCCCACATTTAAACTGTTGACTAAAGATTTCAGAGAGACAAGTGACTTTTCTGTGTACCCTTCACAAGTGCACTCCTTTAACCACCCAAAGAGGCTATCCTTGCTCTTACAAGTACAAAAGTATAAAACCCACCTCATGTCATTCTCCCACACAACACTTCACCTATTTTTGTGGATGCTCTATTACTCCTCTGCTCCCAGGGACACGTGCTTATATTTGAAGGAAAACACACAAAAGTGATTCGTGTACATATTTTGTGAAATATTAACTTTGAAAGACATTCTGCACTGGCCTAATTTATCTCTGATACATACATGACTAGTCATTAATTGCATCTATTTCTTTTTAGTGTCCAATTAGGACTCCAGCAGAGAAGGAAGAGATGCCTAATTAACAGAGGTAAGAGCATGTATACAAAAAAATACACAAGACATTATTTGTCATGGAAACTAATGCTTGTGGAAGTACTTTTCATCAGAGTTCATTCGCATAACAATAGAACGGAAGAGCATCTCGATCCGAGGTCTGATTTCACACACAAAAAAAGAAAACATAACCATCAGACATCCTGGTTTATATTAGAAATTATTCTGTCGGGCTTTAACTTGTTCTGACAGCAAGGCAAACATGCAAGCAGTTAGTTCTCTAAAAGGCTAAAAGCTATGATAGAGTGTAGCCCTACATAGAGAATGTGCATGCATGTCGAACATACTCAATATTTAGTAAGTTGTATAGGTGGAAAAATGTTGTGTAGAGTTGTACAGAAATGCTGATTAATCTGAAGACTAAAGGTCATTTTAGTGCTAGAAAACTTCCCCGTGGTGAGATGTTCTCCCTGAACAGCAGGATTTCCTGATGATTCTGTTACCGATTTTGGCTGTCTTACTTTTTGGCATCTAATAAGATCTGGAATAGTTTGTTTTGTTATTATTTTCTACCTATGTCTTTCTATGTATAATCACATAGCAGTTTAAAACTGCATGTATACCTTTCAATGAAATTCATCATTAGGCTTGCTGCTAAGAAATAAGAGTAAATAAATGTTTTAGAGTAATCATCATTTTTGCTTGTTTACTGTATAATTTTAATCAGTTCTGTTTTCAGACTCTGTTCTGAGAACAGTTACCAGAAACTGAAGTCAGCTTAGCAGCTGAGGCTGTAGGCAGACTTCAAGAATTATCTTGTATTTATTCTGAGCATGGGAACATAGTGAAATAATCACCTGGTAAATTTACTTTGATAATCCCTCATTTATTGACAATGATGAATGGATGTTGTTATAAGTTTAAGGCCAAGAGCAAGAATGCCTGCATCTTTTTAGCATGTCTACAAGTCTTGTTCTTGAGATCTTTATAAATTCAAGGTACCTTGATTTTCACAGGCTCTGGATTTCTTTGGTTTGTTGGTCTCCACAAGAACAGTCTGGGCAGAGCAGCTCCAAGAGTTGTATTTTCTTCTTCAGCTTCCTTGCTTTATTTCAGATAAGTTTAGAACTTGGTAGGAATACTGAAAATTTCAAAATAAGTTTCAGTTATGAGCAGTATTTTGCACTGTTTGAGTTATAAAAGGGACAAAGTGTGATTTGTTCACAACAACAAAATGATACAACTTATCCCTGAGGAGAAATGTAATAAAGGTTATGAATCAAATTAACTAATTATTTGCTTTTCCAACTTTTCCAAGTCTGGAGAATGATACGTTTTATCAGTTGTAGCATTGGGGATTTTTGGTAGCACTGAAAATGGATACCCTTCAGTGAGGTCTTTCCTGCCACTCTTCCACACACAAAGGAGGGGCCGTCTCTCCCAGTGAGAACTGTATTCCTCTCTCTCATTACTGGAGTACAGTGCCACTGTAAAACAGGTACCTCCTTTCCTGCTGCTTATCCTCTAACAGTTATTTGTTCAAGTTTCTCTATAATTCTCATAAAACTAAAAATACCAGTCCTCTGACCTGAAAATGAAAGAAATTGTCGATGCCTCTTCAAGAGGCAGCTCAACTCCAAACGTGGTTTTTCGTTATGGCTGTTCCTTTGACTAGAGCTACACCAAATGGCTAAAAAAAAGTTCTGAAGCTGGACAAAATTGTTAACAACTTAGTAACAGCAGAGGTGCTTGTAAGCTGCAGATTGCTGATGTGAGATGAATTGTTCATAGAAGCATGTGGAATTATCCCTGAAATTAGAATAGGTGGTCGCTGTCAATTTTAGAAGGTGAATTGCATGTGGGAAAACCTGGAAAATACAGTTTATTTCTCACATTCTGTACATTGTTCTTGTGAATTCTCCAAATTCAGAGGATCTCTGCTTCTACAAATAGGCCTCTGTAGCTTTCTTCTGTCTTCTGTCTTCACACTGGTACAGGGACACGATAGTACAACAGCACTGAGGATGCTGCTGGTTGAAACGCGAAACATTTACATAGGGGCTCACACACCATAGCTGTAAAGAAGCAGAATAGCCCTGGTACATTGGGTTTGAGGATTTTTCCTTCCTCCTTTACCTCACTCACAGAAAGATGGCCTTAAGAGAAAAACAACAAGATTTAAGAGGGAGTGTTCATTTACCTGTATAGACCAGAAAACTTGTGTGTTTATGGTGAAGTTCAGAAGTCCTCTGAGAAACCATGTTTGATGTTTATAGTATCAGTGTCCTCCCTCAAAGTAATGAGAGCATTCAGTGTGTACAGTGCCTGGGAGGACTGGACCATTCCTGAAAGAAATAAATCAGTTAAAAGTTAAAATCCGGGGAAAAAAAAAAAGTTGTCTGTTAGCAGTCTAATGCCAATTCCTACTGATGTATTTTCTTATGAGAAGTTGTAGGGGAATCTGAGTGTTTCATTACTGCAAACTGTCAACTACTGCACTTCTATTGCTAACATCCTGATTTTCCAAACAAACAACAACGCAGAAGCTCTTGGTTATTTAACCACTCAGCCCATCATACCTTTTGATCCAGCAGGTGGACTGCAAGGTTGAGTTTCTCATGCTCATTTCAACCACTACAATGTTCCATCTTATTCAAAAAGAAAAAAAGAAACAAGTCCATTCAGTCATGAACGTTATTCATTACTTCTTACAGCGCAGCTCTTCAGCCAGCTGTGCATCACTTTCCCCACTCTGGCACGCCGTGTGGCTGCACCTCAAGAGGCTCTGGTGCTGGCACACAGCACAGCAACGCAGCCTCTGCACCATCAGCACTGTGGGATCCCTCACCTGGGCCAGCTCTGGAAGAAGTTCTCTATCACTTAAAGCAAATGAGTACGATTTCTTATGAAGTCAGCACTGAATTTCAGTCTGTCTTTGCCAACTTTTTTGTCCACATGACAGCTGAAGAAATATATGTATTTATATATATGTTGCATGCTTTGATTGCTTTCACACTGCTCAATTTTTCCATTGTTAAGTAGATTTTATACATAAAAGAGGAAGAGAATGAAAAGTTAAAGATTATGATTATATAGAGATTATATGCAAAATTTAGCTTTTACTTTCTATTAGAATGTTTTTGTATAAACTTTATGGAAACTTTATTTCCATAGGAATAAAAATTGTGAGTTTTAACACATATAGACAAAAATGAAACTAATTTTCTAAAGTAAAACTGTACAAATTTAAAATGTAAATCAGTACTAATTATGTACTACTGCATTAAAGTAATTAAAATAATTGTATTTAAAGGAAAGTGTTTTGTCTAATAAATTAAGATCAAGCCATACCCAGAATAAACCAAAAAGAATTCTCAAAGTGAAGACACAAAATAGAGATCATGAGTAGAATAGTCTGCATTTTTGCAGTGAAATACTCCATTATTTAAGTGAGCGTGTGATGATACAGGAGCATGTGAAAAGGTTTGCTGATACACACAAGAGAAGAAAATGAACACACATCCAACTTGGAGAGGGTATAAAAGAATATTTGATCTTTTAACTAGTAGCTTACAGAGACTTCTCCAACCCTTGTTATCTGAGCTTTCTGGAAACAATATTAAAAAGCAGCCAAATATACTACTGTCCCAGAAAGCCTCACAGAGATCATCATCTTTCCCCTCCTCTCAGTTGCTTGTTATTCACTTGTTATTCACTGACATCTTTAGGAACCCAAGGTTTTCAAAGCAAGCTCCACATCAGGCATACTATAAAAGACTTAAGAGTTTTGATAGGAAAAAACTTTATAATCAGAAACCTTCAAATTATGCACAACTTCTGATCCCTGGCTACACGTTAAAGTGACCAAAATTTGGAAGGTGGGGGGGGATGAGTGGTGGTAGATTTGATGTTCAGACTTACGAGCCTTGAGGGTCGTATTTCCTCCATTTCAATCACTAACTTACTGTGCCAAGAACCATTACAAATAAAAGCAAGCCAAAAAGACATTATTGGGATTTTATAATAATGAGAGAATCTTGCAGAGGAGCATTAGTGTCCACATATGGTTTTAGGCTAATTAAAATTCTATTTTAAATGGACTGATTAAACATTTTGAGGAAATTATCTGTTCTCTGGGGAAACCTCCCATTTCTGTGAGGAGCACTCCCACAAACTCTGCAGATGTACTGTTATGAAGTTATAAATATTCAGTGACTGCTGTATCAACACAGCAGCACAGCTTTGTATTCTGTACGAAGACTTCTCTTGAGCCACAGCAAAAGCCTTGAAATGTAGAACGCCTTCCAGATCTGGAATTACAGCCAGTGCCTATGACCTGAGGAACCTGGCCATGTGGACATGGAGTGGGAGATATTACTTGAAAAACTTAAATGCATATAATCTGCTTTTTTTTTTTTTTTCCCTCTTAAGCAGTATCTCTTAAAAAAAAACAAAAGTGTTCACATTCTTATAAAGCTAGCTAGTCAGAGCATCCTCCAGCAATAACTTCCAAAGAGGCCAAACATAAATTGAAGAAAAGAATACAAACCATGAAACGTGTTGGTTTACTTCTGATGCTTGTTTGCTTCCATAGCAAAGGAGATGAAGGGACAGTGCTGGGGTCAGTCTTCTTGGTCCTCCAGGCAGGATCTGGGTCCACTCCATACTACCATGTGAGAGGCAACAGCTTCTTTGTCCCAGTAAGAAGGCAGCTGGGAATCATTGAGATCTGGGGTCAGTGTTAAGAAACTAGAAAACTTTATACATCAAGGAAACTTTAGAGGTTTCCTGGCAGACAAACTGGGAACCATCAAAACCCCAAAGCTGTAATTCCCAATCAGGGAAAGCAAACAAAGTGTGCTCTGTCTTTTGTACATAGAAAAATTTGGATATATGATGTGTGGTACGTGATATTCCACAACTTTCCACGCGGGGTGATTGAGGACTGCCCATAACAAAGCACCTCATTTTCTGCTTTTGCTGCTTCATAGAAGTTTTGATCTGAGTGTACCACGTACAGCAGTGCCAGTGTTACAGGCAGCTTCCTGTTCCAAGTCCAGCAGCTGGAAACACAACCAGGGAATTCCTTGTTCCTATAAATTTAAGCACAGAAGAAGCTATTGTTACTTGGTAATAACAATCAAGTTTTTAGAAATTTAAAGGCCAAATTCAACCCTCAAGAAGCACGCTAAAGCCTCAATACCATAGATGAGATGTAAAGAACAAAAAAGCTCCAGTAATCCTTCAACAGGAAGGGCAGAAGGCACAGGCACCTCGCATTTTTCATCAGTGAAGCATTTGTTTGTAGGGAATTTTCACAAGCGAGCTCCAGCTCCCAAAGACACTGACAAATGGCAGGGAGCCCTCCCAGCCAGCACAAACACTTCTCTTTTTTAATCTCCCCATAATTTCCTAAGGCAACGTCATTTTCAGGCAGCAAGTGCAGGGAGCATCTGACGGACACCATGTCTCACTGTTGCACGACAGAAGTATAATAGCAGTAATATTTAAAAAAGCCAAAGCTGTCACTGAGATGACTTTAATCTTGAGCCCTGATGTGCAAAAAGCAATAGCATTTCCAACTGCTGCAGCTGGGACTGCTACTTGTGCCTCTGCTGCAGAAGTACAGCCACGCCACAGAATGCAGGTAGGTCACAAAAGATCCAAAAAAACAACGAGGAAGATACACAGTGTCATTTTAGGGAAGAAATACTTTTTTGCCAAGGCTCATCACTAAGACATTCTGACAGAAAGGACGTTCTGAAGTTCTGATAACCAAATGTGCATTACTAACAGGAAACAGCAGAGTCTCATCTTAGCAGCGCATGAGCAGTGAACTAAATCACAGGAACCTAAAAGCCCAGCTGACATAAGATTCCTGTTGCAGGTGCTCTGCAACGTTATCTTCATTGTAAGCTAAAAGATTCAGTAACTGACCAATCAGCAATGCAAGGCCAGTCTTCCCTTCCAGCTGTCAGTGTATATTCCGTAAGCTCAACCAGTGATCTATATTCAACTGAAGTGTTTTAAGCATGATAACATGCAATGAAGAAAACAATACAAGCAGGTTCTCAGTGACTGCTGACCTCACAGGGACACAGATGGCTCCGCTGGGATGCACCTTGCTGCAGGAGAGGTTGTACCAAACCATCGCTGCTCCTTTGCCACTGCCTGGGAAGTAACCTATGGCTCAGACACAGCTTGCCATCCACAAGGGTGCAGTGTGACCTTGCTGGATGCTTACCCTACGAGCAGTGCAGCAACAATAGTGGGAAACAGCAGAACAAGGTGTCCTGCTTTTGTTTTATCAAAGAACTTATAACGCTTGCAGGAATTTATGAATCTCCTGCATCATATTTCAGTCTTTGTTGGAGGTCTCTACCACGAGAAGAGCAGGAGCAAATTATAAGAGCTGCCCTGGCAGTCCTGGAGGGGCTGTTAATGCAGGAGCACGGAGCCTCGCAGGCCTGTCCTCTTTGTGTGCCCAGCCAACGTTCAGCCCCACCAACTTCAGCCTTCCCACAGCACTACTCAGAGGTCAGTCACTCCAGAAACAGTCTCACAATGAGCCGTCCCCAGTGAGGTTTTAGGATGCATTCTGCTTCACTTCAGTGTTGATACATTAGGATCAAAAACAGAGCTACATGAAGAGAGAAGGAAAGTTTAGCGGAGACAGAAAATAGTCCTGTGAAGCGATGGCCACCTGGTCTTCCGAGTACCAGAAAGCAGACAACAGCCTATTTCAACACGACCACCAGCACTCAACAACTGTTAGAAAAGCTTGGATGAGCCGCTTCTTACAGACAGCACAGCCCAGGAGTGGAGCGCTCAGATCTCAGCACTCCCCTTCACAGTGCCCCACACACAGACAGCAGAGGTTCCACGTGGGCAACAAACCACGGGAAGAGAGCACCCGGCACGGACACCTCTGTTTGGTATGGTCAGCTGTGCCAAGCAGAATTCCAAAGCGAAAAATACACGTGTTTAGCTGCGCTTGTTTGCAGACACAAGTGGAACAAGATGTGCTCGCACAGGATATCTAAGCCACATCATTGCCTGAACGAATAAAATCATGTGAGGAGAACCTCTACCAGCAAGAATTAAGCTTACCACTGCCACCTATGTAGAGCATGCATCTACCTGCTGAAAGGATGGGGAGGAAGAATCATAAGTGCATGATCCATCTCTTGTGGGAAAAATGACTGAAGATCTTCTACTTTTCAGCATGAGATGGAAGTAAGAGCAGAGCAAAAGGAAAGAAAGAGAAGGCAGCATTCCATTCTGATCATTTCACTACCACATCATTCCTTATTTTCTCCCGCGCACCTAAAGTGGAAGTTTACAAGGCATGAACATACTGTGAGAGGAGTCTTGTAGGAAAGATGCACCAAAAAACACTCAGCAAGACTATCTATCCTCAGGTACCTTCTGTTGGTATGTCCTGCTGAGTGAGGGTGAGCAACAAGCTCCCTTCCTGTCACACAGTATGTGGTACCTCAATTTTTATACATATTTAGCAGAAGTTGCATTAACAACATCCTGCGTTCCAACTGTTGATCTGAATTCAGTCCCATTTCTTTTGCCCATTTTACATATGAATGTCACGTTTGCATCTCATCATATGCCTTGCAAGAATACGTGCTATAAACAAAACTGCACACTAGAGGAATGAAGTAAAAACATATATACCATTTTCAGAATTAAGGTGAAAGCAGGATTCTAACAAAAGGAGCTCTCTAGAGCTCAAGCTGGTCTCCCAGTTTAGCCTTAGAGAAAGTTGCACTTCTGCCATCCCCACCCCACCAGGCAACAGCTCCATCAAAACAGCAAGAAACACCTCCTGCAGCCGATGCTGCACAACCCAACTGCTTGGCCTTGCCCTGCAGCAGCATGGTGTAAAGCAAGGTAAATGCATAGTTAGCGGATGCAAAACAGGCTTCCTTCCCCCCTGAAACAAGATGGCTTAACCCCTGCATGGGACCCAGGGCCTACATACCCCTTGTGCTTAGAAGATCTCTTCACATTTCCTTTCCACAGCAGCGACTGCATGACCATCAGTCTCCCTTCAGGATCACAGTTAATTGGATGAAGGCTGAAACAGCGACAGATTCCTGATGTTTCAATGGTAGGGAAAACATGGCTTCTCATCTGCAGCACTAAAGTTTTCAGACTGGAGATGTGCTAAGTTACCCAGGCCCAGTGGTCACTGTCACCCTGCCATCACTCATTTTGTAGAATGACTGGTTATAATTCATCTTTGAAGATGTCTAACTCACACCAAGTAACACAGATTAACAGTTCTAATTGCACAAACTCATAACTTAAAGTGAGGAAAAGCAGCAACATGACCTGCACGGCTCATCTAGTTCCCATCCAGCTGGAGCTGAGCAAAGCCCCACCAAGTTATGCACAGCTACGGCAGGCTCATTTCAGCAGCCCCCTTAAACTTCAGCAAAATAGCAGTACGAAATGTAACTGCATTCCTGAAAAGTCACATGGACTGAATTATGTCCAGGAGAGCATGTGCCTATTGCTTTGGTACCAATGCAGATTGAGAGGAAGCTGCCATGCCCCTGGGAGAGCACAGCTCACTGCCTCGGTGCAGCCCAAGGGCTACAAATGAACTGGCCACCAAGAGCGCGTGTTGGGTATTTGGTTTGTTGTGTTGTTGTGTTTTGTGTTGCTGTTTTCCCCACTGCACACACAGCAGGCAGTAGGCATTTGACATATCATATTGTTTCCCAATTAGCATAAATTAAAATCAAACCTCACGAGAGCATATTGTGCTACTTCAAGCTATCTTCTCAGCTATGGGAAAGAATGCAAACCCTCAGCCCCAGAGATCTGCACCATGGATGCCTCTCTCCTGCTCTGCCCTGATCCAGTGCTGCACATCTGTGTAAAGCACCACTCAGCCCCTCCTCCCTCCCATCTAATCTCAGTACATGTCTGGAGGAAGAGAAGCCAATATCACCCCCACACGCTTCTCCTCCTGCCCAGCTGCCCTCCCAGCTGGTATGAAGGATGCATCCATCTCCATGGCGAGGCAGCTAACACTGAGGGCTGAGGGTTTTAGTTTTAATCTCTTCCTTTAACCTTTCTGCATGTCCAGCTGCAACACAAAACCATCTCAGGGATGGAAAGCTCCCTTTTAACAGGAACAGGCCCCAGATACTGACTGCCAAACTGAACAAAGTGACTGTGTATCTGTTGTGCCTTGCTGATCAAACTCTTTGCTAAACGCTTCTGGCTTCAGGGTACTGGGGCACCTGAGTCAGTCATTCAGCTGCTCTCACACTGCTGAGCACTCCTTACTCAGAGGGTGGTGAGGCACTGGAACAGGCTGCTCAGAGAGGTAGTGGATGTTACATGCCAGGCGGTGTTCGAGGCCAGGCCGGATGGGGGCCCTGGGCAGCCTGCTCTAGTGGGTAGCAAACATGCCCACTGCAGGGAGGTTTGAACTAGATGATACCTGAGGTCCCTTCCAGCTCAAACCATTCTGCAATTCTATGAGTACCCAGCGGGGAGTTCAGCGAGATGTGCTGTGCCATGGGAGCTGCAGCACATTTGCTTAGGAAATGTGCTGCAGCTTGTTTTTTTTTTTTAGGAAAAAAAGGAAAAACTACCCCTGAGGTCATAGAAACAAAGACATGCACAAGACAAAACCAACCTGAATTCCCCTGGCTGGAGGAGTGAAAACTCCTCACTGTTCTTTGTGCTTGTGTATATCATTATAAGGAATGCATTACAGTAGTGGGCAAGCCAGCTTCAAGCCTCCTCCTTCCACCCACAGCTTCTGCTGCATTTACCTCTGTTCCATCACTCATTCACGCTCCCTCAGCCACTCACCCACATACACTCCTTGCTGACAGCACAGCTGCACGCATGCATTCAGAGCTACAGGAACTGCTTTTGTAATTCTGGTATTGAGAGAACAAGCAGCAGGCTCTGAGGGGCTGTGCAGGACAGACCGCTGCAGGTGTGCACCGCACACTCATGCAGCGTGCACTCATTCCAGCTAACTGATGCAAAACCTGACTGAAACTGAAACAGCCCCTAGGGGCTCTTTGCAAGAGCAAGTTCTGGCTAATTT